CCTAACAATTAGGATAACCCATAAAAGAAATTATAACATATCAAAGGAACAATAAAAAATAAAACAAAATAATCCTTTCCAAATTATCAACAAAAATCATTTAGGCATGACAAACCTAATACAATTAATTATCTCTCCTGTAAGTATATTTACTCCAGATTCAATAACACGTATATCATTATTATAGACAAATATTCTCACCACATGCACATGAATTTCCATTTGGATACCATTACATGCATTGCATTATAAACAGAACCCTAAAATTATACATGCTAAGCTTAAACCTGGGCATTGCCTTTTAGTGGGGTTTATTGAACCGGGTGCATGTTAGTGGGTGCTGTTGTAGGTGACTGTGTGGCGCTATATTGTGTATAGGGTGCGTTGAGTCATTGTCCAGTTGGCTGCTGCATGGTACGTTTGGTCATTGTTGAGCAAATGCTGGATTGATCCGAGCTCGCTGGGTGACTGTGATGTCAGTTTAACTCCGTTGTTTTTCGCTTTCGGTTAGGCTACAGGGAGCTTTCTTCTCTTCTATTTATTAGTTTTTTATTTTTTCTTTTGTATGTGTTGCCCATAATAACTAAATCCTATCACGCCATTGCATCAGTATTACCATACAACACTCTTCTCATAAATAACACCAAAATTATATATACATATTAAACACAAACCTGGGCAGTGCCACGCCAATGCGTGGCACCCCAAAACTAGTATATATATATATATATGTACTAGTAAGTCTTTGCTATGCTAGGCACAGCCAGTGCCCATCTTAATGTGTTTAAGGGTAGGTAATTTTTAAAAAATATCCCTAAGCTAAGTGTCATTTTTAAATCTATACGTATTGTGTGTATATTATTAAAATGAAAAGAAATTAGATATTGGATATATAAGTATACTATTAATTTATACGTTCAATCAAAATTGCTGAATGAGTACTGTGAAGAATTCTTATACTTCTTCTTGCTATTTAAATTTTTTGCTTTATTTTATAAGTAATTGAAGTGGATATCATAGATAAAATTTAGTAGAAATTTAATTAAATTTAGATTTGTTGATTAATTGTTTGTTTCTAATTTGTATGCTATAATTTTTGCCTTTTCATTTTCAAAATGTGGAGGCTGTGGAACATGGAATTTTTTGGGGTTTTTGAAACTCTAATTATGTTTTAATCAAATTGTGCAGTCTTGAGATTTTAGAGTTGGCAGAGGAATGGAATGTAATTTGATAGTGAATTGCAACATATATATATAATGAGTCTAGTTAATTGTGTACATTAACAAATTATTATTGTTATTTTTTTGTTTTTTCAAGATTTTTTCAGGTTAATAACTCTTGTAATGTTTGTTTATCTAGTAATTGGAAAGTACATGATGTATTTATATGTATAATATGATTGGATAAATATAAGCAAAGAAATTGAAAAACAAAGCATTTGTAATATATTAATAGTTTTTAAGTTTAGTTCAATAGATATTTACATGATTTTTGTATTTAAAAGTTAAAGGAATTGGAAAGCGATGCAAAGAACTTGTTAATACTGCAAAATGAAAACATAAAACATGTAAAAGAAACTGTATATGTTAGTATAGTAACTTGTAGATGGGGATACGTACGCTGAAGAAAATTTTGAGTACAATTGATAATTCATCACATGGTTGAGATTGTTGTCAAGGACAACCAAACATTAAGGGAAAAAGCAACTATCTAATCTGATTTGGCAATTTTCGTTTTTTTTATTATCATTTTTCCCACTTTGAAGATATCTTTTTTTTTTTCCCTCTGAGTTTCAAAAATAGGCAAGGTTTGATTAAGAAAGTTTAAATTTTTTTAGCATGTAGATTAAAATAATAAAATTCTTGGTATGAAATTTGGATATTTCTTTTAATTTTTGAAAATGTGACAATTTTTCTATCATTTTTTGACGGCTTCTAAAATAGCAAAAGTTATATTAACAACGTAGCAAAAAAATAAAAAAAATATATAAATTTTCAAAAAGATGAATAGAATTCTATGATTTTTAATAAATTCAAGTTAATCTGTCAAATATAACTTTAAATGATATTTCAAATCGTAATAAATATAAATTCAAATAATGATAATGATTATAATATTATAATTGGATTACATCTGTCCAAGACCTACTACTTGAAATCAATTTTAAATATTTTTTTTGTGTTTTGAGAATACGATGATTTGAAAAATACTCTCTCAAATTGACATCATAATAAATATAAATTGAAATAATGATAATAATAATAATAATTTGTAATTGAATTACATCTATCAAAGGCTTACAAACTGAAAAGTCCAATAAAAATAATTGGACCTCATACTTGAATACCAATGCCAGACCAAATTTGGTCATTGCGCAATGCAGTCCAGTCTGTCTACCATTGCCTACGGAAAGAAAAGGAAAGAATGAAAGCTCAAAAATTCACCAAGAGTGCCATGTGTCAATGAGACAGCAAGATAAGATATATTTTTTAAATTATTAATCAATTTATATCCTGGTTCGGGTCTAATACGGGCTGGAATGCCATATTCCATATCCGACCATTTTTTGTTTAATAAAATGGATCCGGATCCGAATCCGGATAACGAAATTATATCCCTACCTGTACCCGGAATTATTTGACGGATCTCGTCCGGGTCCAGGTCGTTGACAGGCCTACTTGCGAGTTGCAAGTAACAATTTTTGAATTCCATTATTAATGTCCATGCCTATGTATATATGAACCCCAGTGCAGTTCTAGAATTGAAAACAAATAAGGAAAAATAAAGGCAAGGAAAAGTTGATAGATGTGTGGCTTATGGACAGAAGAAGTATGAATCATGAAAGCGATAGAACATTATTGTCTCGGTTCATCTAGGAAGGAACCGAGGAATTTTCGTGGTGGCATGAGTTATGGGGAGAAAGGGAACACAGAGGACAAAGACAACGGTGATGGACCTGATGGTGTATACGCTGGGTTCCTTTGGCCTTTCCTTGTTTGCCGAGTGATACTTTCTTCATTCCCCGCCCCCCTCCTCCCCCCCCCACCCTTTTTTTTTTGTTATGCTTTTATAAGATGTTGTCTTTTTCTTAGATAGTATAAATAAGTAGAATATTAAAATATTAATATACAAAAACATCTAGAGGGGCAGTGTAGGGTTTTTGTATTACCTTTTCACTGATTTGGATCAACAACCCGTTAGTAAACTAATGGGAGGGAGCAATTTGTTATGCAATGTTAAAGCCAAAGGGGATGATTGTTATTTTTCAAAGTTTAGGGAGTCTACTTGTAATTTGGTAAAATTACAGGGGAAGTAAATGAAATTAATCCTATTATTGTCGTCCCGAATGACACATAATAAACGTGTTACACCATTTCAGTGCTCCCGTTCACATGAACTAATAGTGGCAACAACTGTCGATAAGATAAGAGAAACAATTATGGCGTGTAAGAATGGCAATGGAGCAGGGTTTTCTTTCTCGTTCCGTGCCTTGAAAAATTCCATTTCCCTTCCCTGTCTTATCCTTACCCTCATCATCGCCCTATCCAGGCTCACACGCATTTGAATGAGTGTCTATTTTTACTCCATTTATTTTTTTTAAAAAAAGACATAATTATATTTATACCACATTTGTATAAAAAGAACACCATCCAGAAATTCAACTACAATGTCCATTATTGAAAAAAAATAAAATTAAACACAATCAAAACTTCAAATATAGCAATAATGTCAAAATTATACAACAAAAGTAAAAAGAGAAAAAAAAAATGAAGAGAGTCAAGTTAAAAAAAAAAAGCTAATAATTAATAACTGCAATTATACTGTATACATATTGATGCATGTGTCCATACACATGTAACAGGACGACAATGGATGGATAAGCCCTTCCTATCCTCCACCTTAGGGATGTAATCGAGTCGAGTCGAACTTGAGTATTACTATACTCGAGTTCGACTTGACATGCAAACTCGAGCTCAAGTTCGATGATTGTTCACAGAACTTGAGCTCGACTCGCATTGGATTGAGTCAATGCAAGTCTTAGCGAGTTTGACTTAGAAATTTTCATTTTTCTTGGCAATTTTTGAGCGAAAATGCATTATTGTCCTTTAAAAGTTTTCATACTATTCGAAAACATTTCGTAAATTCAATTACTCTTTTGAGCATAAGCGTAATTTCATAATAATAATATATTAAAAAATTTAAATTAAAAATTAAAAAACTCGATAAGGTTCGACGAGCCTTCGAACATTGCATCTGAATACTCAAACTCGACTTGCTCGACTTATCGAACTCGGTCAACCTGACTCCGAGTCAAGTTTTTGACCGAGTTACTTGTGAGCAGCTCGATTTGATTACAAGCCTACTCCACCCTATTTAAGGTGAGGGAGAAAAATTGGCTCATCCTTCTAAAGTTAGAGTTTTTAACGAGTTGAGCAGTTTGTAAATATGCTCATGCTCGACTCGTTCGAGTTCAAAAAAAACTTAATTGTTTAATAAACGAATTGAGTTTGAATACAATATTATATTTGTTTAATAATTGAGTTGAACTCGAATTTACTCACGATCTATTTGAATAATTCATGAACACATATATAATTATAAAAATAAATAAATGCAATTACAAAATACATTTAATATTATTAAATAAATATATATATATTACTTTTACTAAAAAGCAATTACACAAAAATTAGTATTATTTATTTTTTAAAAACAAGAAATACAATTAAACTTATTATAAATAATGTATTATTTATTAAAAATATAATTAAATTATCTCCAAGCAAAATTCAAGTCATTTAATTTGACAAGTCGAGTTGGAACTCGAGCTCAAATATTTGTACAAATAAACAATTGAATTCTAGCAATACTTATAGTTCGTTGGATACACGAGGCAAACTCGAATTTTGTTTGTATAATAAATATATGAACAGGACGTGAATACCAAATATTTGGCTCATTAAAAGCTCTACCTCGGACTTCGGAAAAAAAAAAGAAAAGAAAAGAAGCTCTACCTCGGACTAGGGGTCCTTCAATTGCTGTTCCCAATGTTGTGGTTAATTCTTTAAAAGCTAAGTATTGAGGGATCCTGTCGTAAATGCCCCTAGAAGTAGTCCAAGAAAATGACCACTTTTTCTGCTTCGGAGGATTTCAGCGTCCCGCGTCCGCGTGAGTTGTGTCTGTTTCTTGAAGGAATCAACCAATCCAAACAGCAGTTTGACGTTATTATTGTTTGATCCCGCATATTTCCAATCATTCTCCAGGATAATGGTTCCCCAAAATCCTGGGCATAATTTTCCTGTAGATTGAACTACATTAATTTTTTTTAAAAAAGCTTTGTTTGAACAAATCCCCCCTTCTTATAGCATCGGTTTTCTCTTCAAAATCTGATATTTGGTGGGGGGGAAAGATCCCAACTTTTCCGGCAAAAAATGGCGTCCCACGAAGAACAACAGAAAGAAACCATCTTCTCATCGTCGTCATCCTCTTCTTCTTCTGATCAATCTTCTATATTAGGTCAGTCAGCTTCGTAATATCAAAAATTTCATCTATGTTTGAGGATGCCTATGTATTTGTAGTTTTTTTTTTTTTTTTTTTTTTTGGTGGGGGAGGAGCTTTTTTACCCTTTTTATTCCTTTTGGTCTGGCTGAATTCGTGGGTTCTGTCTACATTTTCTTTTTGTTATGGTTTCCAAGTTTGGGTTTGTGATCTGTTATCTATGGATTAAGATGATCTGGCAATCTAATTTTGTTTAGATGACTTTCTTTTAAACTACAATTATAGTTCGCTTGAAGAAGAAGGCGATAGCAATCTTGTTTTTTGTATCCAAAATGGGCTTGGATATAATAGGAGCTGATTAAGATAACTGAAAGGCCAAAAGGATAAATTGGTGTTGTTTAGATAGCATGAATTAGGGACTTGAAGCTGGATTTTGAGAAAATCCTTTCATAAATGAAATGGGAATTTTTAGAGATCCATTATATTTTAGGTTATAAAATTATGGTTAATCAAGCTAGGTTTCAATCATTGTGATTCTAATCCTCTGCAAACTAATATGTCGTGCAAGTCCTATGGTATTAATCTTACTTAAGCGATAGTATACCTGTCTATAGTTATAAACTTATTTGCTAAATCTCTAGCTGAACCACAGGATGAAGTATGGAAAAAAAAGTTTCTTTTGTCCATCTTTTTGGATTATTTGGTACATCATTTTGATGAAACTTGCATGGTTTGATTTCATAGAGTAGTGTTACATTTCTCAAAATAGAACTCAGTTTGGGGATTTCCTTTTACTTGTGTCATGCTAAACAATTTGTTTGTGTCTTTAGAACTTCGTGACAAGCATCAGAAGGAGCTGGAGAACCTGACATTGATGATACAGCCACTGAAGACATTTAAGTTCTTTGTTCTTGCTGTTGTTAATTGCCTTCAGCAACCAATACTTTACATTTCTGCCAAGAGAAGTTGGTTTGTCCTCATAAGTATCCTTGCCGTGGGTGGTGGAGTATTGATCAGAACCCTTTGGAGGCCAGATGAAGAGGTAATAAGCTAGCATTTCAATTTATTGATTTTATTACCTAAAGTCTTAGAGCTGTGGAAGTGCATTAGATATTTTGTCCCAATATGAACAAAAGCTTTCTGTTATTATTTCGAAATTTAGAATATTATTGCTGTTTATCTTTGTCCCACTTCCAAAGGTCGTTGTGGCTCTTAGCAATTAAATATATTAGTAAACAGGGTTATCTTCAGCTTAATGTTTTATAGCAGATCAAATTGGTAGGCTTACCACTTACATTTGCCTTCTGGATTAATAGCTTCAGTTACTTGTTTAGATGTGACATGAACTGGATATTATATACCCAAGATTTTGAGTATTTATTAGGTATAGGTAAGAATCTTATTGGAGCTGATATTCCCCACTCCCCTTCCTCCCACCCCCATAAATAGATGGTATATTAACATTTTGTTTGCCGGAAGGAATGGTTACTTATTCTCCATTATCTATTTCTGTCAACTTTATTTTCTGTTGCTGTGAGTTGTTCTTTTGCTGTATCATAGTGGTTTTAAAGTGATTGATGAAAATCAAGAGATGATGCATTGTTTCATTACTTTTGCTTAGAATCTATTTTGGGAAGTGCCAGCAGGATCCACTTTCTTGGGCAGTGCCCATCATTCCTCTGTAGATTTGTAAAACCTTTATCCAATCTAATGCTAGATAAATCTAAATCATATCCATGAAAGTACCTCCACATTGTCTAAGTTTGGCTGGTTCGTCTTCTCTCGACTTTCTGCACTTTACTGGATAACATTTTCTGTTGCTTGCAGTTACTGACCTTCTTGCACTCAATTTTTTACATACCCTTTATCTTATTAGAAAATTTACTTAATACATGCATTATGGAATGCTTTCCTTTTGCACCTCACCAATGTCTTTATGCTTGTATAACTCTTGGGTTATTTGTTGAATGATTTGAATTGTCTCCAATACATATCAATGTATGTATTGCATGTATACTTCTTTATGCTTCTTACTTCTAATTACTACAATGGTGCTGCAGTATGTTCTGGAAATTGGCAAGTATCTCGAGTATGGAATCTGGTGGTTGGCTCTGGGTGTGGCATCATCAATTGGTCTTGGTAAGCGCAAATGAAGCAGTTACTGATCTTTTTATAGCTCATGATATCACTGCTGTTTATGCAGAATTTCAGTTGTTTGCTCTTTTTTTTATCTACAATCCTGTTTAAATGGCAGTAGTATCTTATTGTCTTCGCATGTAGAAAGGAAAAGAAAAAGATAATTCTGAGGTTTTGTGAGTATTTGCATTAGGCCCTACATGAGGTTTCAACTTGTTAGCATGTTGCTGTGCCCCTCCACCACAACATTCTAAACCAGAATGTCCATTAGTATGAAGGGGAAATGTTCCTTCAATTGCTGGTTATTTTCCCCTTCCCCAAAGAAAATCTGGCCTCAATTGTTTTCCATGTCTAAAGTTCCTTGAATACTTAATTAGCTTCAATTTGTAAATTATTGTTGACTTACTGAAACCTCCCTGAAGCTTAAATTCCTCTTTATTTCACAATAATGGAAATGTGCTAGATCAGGTTTCCACTTTTTACTGCCTTCCCTTTCTCACCATCCAGTTTTATGTCTCCAGGGTCTGGTTTGCACACCTTTGTTTTGTACTTGGGTCCTCACATTGCATTGTTTACAATGAAGTCTGTGCAATGTGGACGGTTTGACATAAAAAGCGCTTTATATGATACAATCCAGTTCAGAAGGGGTCCTTCATGGCTGGATACTGATTGCTCAACATATGGACCCTCACTGTTCCCGTTACCTGGTTCACGGGTTCCATTGACCAGCATATTGCATCAGGTTGAACTGGAGGCTATGCTATGGGGAGTTGGGACTGCACTTGGAGAGCTTCCCCCATATTTCATTTCTAGAGCAGGCAATGAGGCTCTATGTTTCTATATCACCCCTGGAAAAGCTTTTAATTTCAGTTCATCTTTTTGTTTGTTTGTTTCTTTTTCCTTAGTTTTTTGCTGCTTTCTTCTTCTTCTTGGTCTGGGAAAAAGGGTTGGGGTGTCAAGGTCTGTCTATGCTTTTTCTCTTTTATGGTTTTCTTCAACTAAAAACCCTAGATTTTACTGTATTCTATTTCACATGTTTATTATATTTTTCCTTCACTGAGTCAGGTGGGGTGATTTGTATATCTAGGTTATTTGTATTCTCTGTACATGTCAATTTATTAACTCTGTTGAGGGATTTTGTTGTTAAAGTGATGACATTTTTGTTTATTAGATTTTAGAAAAGTCTTTGGGTTTTTCAAGTTGATGATGCAGATATGTCTGTTTATGGGGAGAGAGGGATGGAGGGAGGGAGAAAAAGTAGTTCCTCTTGAATCTATGAACAACAGTTATTAGGATCAGCTTGCATTTTTGTAATAAAAAAAGGATCAAAGGATGCTCTTTAAGGAAACTGATCTTGGCTGGCTGGAGATATTCCAAAGTATTCCAGGAATTGTACATATGCAGTTGAGATTTGCTGTTTCAGGGTCTAATTGCATATTTTCTGATTCTTCAGTTAGCAACTTTAAAATGCATATTTGCTTATTCTTCAGTACATTTCATGATTTTGTCTTTGTGGTGTTGAATCTTGCGTTGCCTAGAGTAGTTCAATATGTTCTATTAGTCACTCGTCTTGGGCTGTATGAAGTATTCTAACTCACTACCAAATGCAGCATATATATCTGGTAGGAAGCTTGAAGTCATGGAAGATGTGAATGCTTCTTCAGAAGGAGATTGTGGAATTGTTGCAAATCATCTAAGTCAAGTGAAGAAGTGCTTCCTTTTGTACTCAAAACATTTGAACTTCTTCACAATTTTGGTTCTTGCTTCGGTAATTTAATTTTAATCAGCTTTGCACTTCTAGAAGTACTTTGATTTGTGCTGAAATTGTTTACTTCCCTTTTTGTTTTTCTGGCAGCTCAGCAAATGCTTCAATCATTTGCCTGGCATACATTTCATCTATTGCAATTTCTTGATCTCTAATTAATGTGGCACTTGTTTTATTGGTCCTTCTCTATCATGTTTGCATAGAAAACGGTTTTCCTTTGTAATTCTATATGTCATTTATAGTTATCCAGGAGCCCCTGTTTCAAAGCAAAGTCTCAAAAGTGTTTGTCACTGCTTTAATTGTCAATCCCTATATATGCAGTATTTGTCTTAGCTTTCCATGAATAGAAGAAAGAAAGTGCTTCCATTTTCAAAATTTATTATCTTCCTTTAGGTCTCCTCTTTCTTTTTTGCTTCTATTCTCTTTTAAATACACCTCATATTTCCTCTCAGAGACTTCACTATTTGACTATATCTATATCTTCTGTCACTGAAAGGGAGAAGAGATAGTATCCTCAGAATGATTTGGCTGCATTTCTTTCTTTCTTGAGAATGTGCATAGCATTTTTTGTCTTGTGGAAGCCAGATAGATTTTATAATTTGCTTTGTCTAGAGTATGTTTTAGATCATATTAATAGCCTTCACTAGTTCTGTCTATTTTTCCCCTTTCAGGTGCCAAATCCTCTGTTTGATCTAGCCGGTATAATGTGTGGACAACTTGGTATCCCGTTCTGGAAATTTTTTACTGCAACCCTGCTTGGAAAGGCAATAATTAAGACTAACATTCAGGTTAGCAACTTTCAAATCAGCTTGAGAATCCAGGTGTACACTGGATGTCTATATACTAGTTTTTGTCTGTGTCATTCAATTTTTTATTTGAAACAATCATATAGTGCTTGTAGTACATTACCTATGTTAAAAATGGTGGATTAATCATTCGCTATGTTGATCGAATCAGTCTTAAGCTCCTGAAATTCTGTCATGTCTCCAAATCTTTGGTTTATATCTGAGGACAAAAATCATACTTTTCCAGATGTGTGTCTTATAAACCACCAGATAATTCTAGCTGAGTTTGATGTTTGCAATAAATCTTTGAATGAAATCACAATAGTACAAGTACTGCATAATATCCAGTTAATGAGTAAGAGCACATTTAAGGCCCTTAACGGGTTAGATGAACATTTAAGGCCCTTCTGTATTGGCTGAAGTAGTTGTCATAATCATCTTCCTTTTTCTGAAAGGCAAGATGAACATACTAAAACCATTTTTAGTTTCTCTAATATTTAATGTTGTTTGTCTTGCCAAATCAATTTGTTTGGCTTGTCAAGCAAACTCTCCATAAAGCCTCATGGGACTGAGATTTTACTTCTTTCTTGTTTGACATGGCACAAGATAATTATGGAGAGTTCGCTTCCAGTTGTTGACCCTTTGCTTTCACTCTTTGCAGACATGTTTTATAATCTCAGTTTGTAACAATCAACTTTTGGACTTGATTGAAACTAAATTAATTTGGTTTCTGGGCCTTGTCCCTGGAGTTGCTTCTGTCTTGCCCAACATTGTGGCGAAGTTGCATTTTGTCAGAGAAAAATATATGGAAGCCTCTCCTCTCACTCCCTCCAATGCCAAGGTAATATTTTTGTTTTACTTCACTACTTCCTGCATTGATGAATATATGCTTCTATAATGGCCACTTTTTTGGTTTCTATACCACTTATATACACTTGAAAATAATGCTAATAATGATCAGCTTTAACTAAAATACTTTCCGAGGAATTACTCCTCAGCATGTCAAAGGTTGGAAAGTTGTTTCTGGGAAAACATTGATTTAGACATGGTTTAAGGGAGCCCTGAGGACTGTTGTTAACATTTTTGTTGCATCCCCAAAGACTGTATAGTATCATGCCTTGTTACATGGCTTAATCTTGACCACATGATTTTCAGGCTACCCAAAGACTGTATAACCCAGCTGTTGCCTGAATGTGATTACAGGTCATGGATGTAGTAGTTATACAAAACTTTTCTCTAGGATTGACTACACTTGCACTCCTTGAGATTTGTTGATACTGCAACTAGACACCCTTAGACATTGTGGAACCCTTTATTAGGAACAAAGAGAAACAATCTATATAATGTTGTTAAAGAATACATAAATTAAGAAAACAAAAACCTTATAACTTTCTTTTAACTGCCTCCATAATAACCCCCCCATTTACAGTTTCCAGCTAACTTGGTTACAGAAATTCTTTCGCATCTGCAATTCTTGAGCATTCCGATACTGAACTGAATGGATATTTCCTCGGTCTGGAGCCAATCTCATCCCCAGCCAGATACTTCTCTAGTCCAACCTAAACCTCAACAGCTTCCACATCCCATTCTTCCCCTCTTGCCAAGTGTTAACCACATTCCCAGGATTGAGCCGACCGACCAATCCACCTCTCCTTCCCTACCTGATTTTCCCTGCCCCTATGAACATTTGTGCTTTCCCTTTCCCTTCCTCAACTTCCTTTCCCAATTCCTGGCTGCTACCCCCAGTGAAAGCCACTGTAAACACACCATTGCACTTTCCTGAATATAGTATCAATTCCCAATCAACATACGTGTCAACAACAGACCCTTCCCTCCCCTCCTCACTGTGCTCCCTCCACTCAAACTGTAGGCCCAATCCTACACTCTTCCCCTTGCTGACTGCAGTACCCCTCCCCTGCTTCCTGTCCCAGCCTTTCCAACTTTCCGTCACCTCCTGGAGTCCCTCCCCCTCCAACAACCCCCAAAAACTCAATGAGAGAGCCAGGATTTGTCATCGGAAGAGGGGGGGGGGATTCGGAGATAAAAGAATGCATAAATTGTTCCAAAATATAAAATTTATATTTTTTTGTAATTAAAGAATGTTAATTGAGATGTAAAAGCTTTTATTTTTGTTACTGCAAATGACGGTTTCAAATATAAATCAAATTGAATTAAGTGGAGTATTTTTCTAGACACGAAGTAAGGAAAGTAGAAAGATTACATCTTTGTTACAATACTACACATATAAAAAGTTATACGTACAATTGCAATTTCTCAAAAGTTAGGGGCGACCACCCTGCTGGTCACCCCCACCCTTGGCCACTGTCCCCGCTGCCTGTGTCTGTGTCCTTGTCTCTGGGCTATGTATACTTGTGATCATTGTTAGATGGTTGAAAGGTATACCTTTAGGCATGTCTCTCTTTGCATGCATCTTTCAAGCATGTGTGAGTGTGCAGTGCAGCTCTGTATCTGTCTGTGCATGTGCTGTGTGTGTCTGTCTGTGCATGGTGTCAAAGTGATGACATCATGGGGAAGAGAAGGGACTGGTGTTGGACGAGGAAGAAGAAGGTGGCGAGGAATGGAAGCATTTACCAAAGAATGTGTGTATGTGTGTGTGTGTGTGTGTGTGTTTTTTTTTTAATTTTTTTAAATAATAATTTCAAATTATAGAGCTTGTCATGCTGTGGTTACCCTGGGATGGTGGTGATGCGCTTCAGACTCCTTCAGTGTGCATTGCAAGGTTTATTTTCTAAATGTGACCGTTTAAATGGGTGGTTATTTAGTATTCGAGCCCTCAAGGTCTGAATGTAGCATGGATGACTCTCAAGGAGTTGTACATGTAACTAATTGTTTTCTTTAAAGGGTTTTTAGGAAATCATCGTAAGCTGCCATGAGTGCATAATAAAATCGTTCTGCACACTTATGCTTACCTTTCTTTTTCAGGTGAAGAAGTGGAATATTTCCTTGGCTTCATTTTGGAACTCTGTTGTACTGCTCATTCTTTTGAATTTTTTGGTCAAAATTATAAATGGAACAGCCCAGAGTCATATGAAGGAACAACATGACAAGGAAATGGCTCAGCTGGAAACCAATTGAGGTATTTAAAGACCTTGAGGAAAAATTAGGAGCCTACAGTTTGCTGTAGTTTTAGCTTTGCTATATCAATTATAGGTTCATGATTTGAACCAATATAGAACTCTACCAATGTACAGATTCGTTGCACAATATCTACCATTAGTAGAGGCTATAATTTGATTGACTGCCTCGTCCTGTATATTCCACAGATGTAAACAATAGGGCAATGATTGGAAGTTGGAACGTCTGATTAATTCTCTTTTGGGCTGTCAAGCTACATTCAATTCAGTTGCCAATGTGTATAGGATAATCTGTACTTTGACATCGTTACTTAATACTGTCATGCCCTTTTGTTGTGTGGATGCGTAAGACGGAACTATTTTACCTTCTGTGGCTCAGAAATTTTCACTACTAGCAACATTGCCTGGTACTATGGCGTTATTAGGCTTCCAGATTTCAATCTTCTGCAATGACTTTTTGTTGCTAGTGTCAGGACAAGATTACATTTGTACAATCCATTATATTTTAAGTTAACGTTATTCTAGTTACTTGTCTTCTGTATCCATGACATTACTTGGTATCCTTTGGCATCAGCTAGGTAATCAACTTCTTAAATTTACACCAGTTTCATCTGCTGGAGCAATGAGAAATGTAACTATTCAGATTTTCCATTTTCCTCTTGGATTTTAACAGCCTTTGTTTAAGTGTGATATCGTTCATCTTCAAGGCATCAGAATTCACAATCTCAAGATGTACATCCACCGGCTATTTTGATGGTAGTACCATTTTACGATGACTTTAGGACGACCGTGTTCTTAGCATGGCAAACGCTTGTGGTCACCTTCCAAGCTTCCAAACTTCCAGCAACCTCATTCAGCTGCAAATGGTAAAGTACTCGTACAACAAATCCTTGTAGAAACTGAAAAGGCCATATGACCAGCATACAGACATAATCTGTAGTCAAATGCAGAAATCTGCCCTATATATATATATATATATATATATATATATATATATATATATATATATACATATATATATACTCGCATTAAAGAGTGAATAAGCAACACCAAGCTATAATATTAAAGAACAGCTTTCTTACAGAAAAATAAACATCTTCACACTACATGATTAAAAATCAAGTGACCCATCGTTTACATGTTTTAACAAAGAATTTCATGAAGTGCAATGTACAAGAAGGTTAACAAATTATCCTTCTCATTTAAGTAACAAGCTTTAGAGTACAGAATCCATGCTCCAGTGTTTCAACCAGAACTTACAAACATTTTATAACAGACAATTTCTGCCATTACTTGCAGGCTTTATTCAGTTAAGTTTGTGAACAAGGGAATCTTCTTCACAAGAGAGATCACGTTTAAGGCATGGATACATGCAGATGAACATGATGCACAAGCATAAAAAACATACACCAGGAAGCATCCCCTATACAGGGCTCGGTTCAAAGCAGGCCAGTACAGCAAGAAGGTAGCTGCCCTTCGAGACTACATACTTCTTGAAATTTTCCAAGACAAAGTCTGGTTCTATGACTGCTCTAAAATCAGGCCAACCCCATGTGCCTCTCCCATCTCAGATCCTCAGAAAATTGTGTCATAGCAGCTCGAAGGTCACCATCAGAAATAGATAAGTAATATTGCGCAGTTTCACCATCAGCTTGCATGCTCCTCCTCAAAGAGTCAATCACCCTTCTTCTCCCCTCTTCTGTGGTCAACCTATTTAACAGATTACCAAGCTTTCCATCAGGGCCACCTTCAAGATACAGAACTGCTACTTCCCTTTTAGCATAGGTATCTAATTCTATGTAGCATGTGCCATTCACGAGAAGCTCTGGTTTGCTTACAGGAATTAACAACCTCTGTCTTGAGTATATGCCATGGTCACTCATCATATTGTTCAAGCGTTTGATGTCCATAACCTATAAATAAAAATAATAAGGTAACAATTTACAATTATTTGAAATTTTTGAACAATGAAAGTAAGCTTTTAGTATGGTCTATTAGGGCAGTAGTAAAAAAACAGCCATAGAATTTTCAATCATGCAATAAACAAAGTCTTCATGTGCTAAATAGCTAAATTATAAAAATTTCTGCCAGGGATGTATGAAAGCTCTCAGGAAAACAACCAATGGAGGGGGGCTGCTGTAACAATTCTACGATAAAGCAAGCAAGAACAGTGTGTTCAATAGCAGAACAAAGATTCTAAACTAGCAACTAACCAGCTGCAGTAACTTCACAGATCAAAGAAACAGCTGAAGTAAATTCATAGAGCTGATTTCCAGAATTGTGAATTCCTGCTTGCAATTGTCTTCCTTCGCTGTTCATATTACATCCCTTCTCTTCCTCAAGTAGATCAGGTTATTGATGCATAAGCTGCATCTTATCTTAAAGCATAAAAGGGGCCAAGAGATCTTGTGGTTCTTCTTTGGACCCAGACGACTAAATTTTTCAAAAGCTATTACATAAATGAGACATGGGTAAATTTGTCTGTTCAATATAAACATTTGCCGCTAAAGTATATACCTGAACAGAGTACTTAACAGCCAGGCCAGCCACGGTGTCGCCGCGGAGGAGGTGGTGAGAAATGGCGAATTTGGAGATACTATTATCTCTCCAGAAGCTTCCGGAGCTAGGATCACCGATAACATCCTTGATTTTCCACCGAGCTTTAAAAGCCCTCGTCTGCATTTCCCTGTCGGAGGCGACAAAGCTCCACAGCCGGCAAACGCAGCCCGCGCGTGCCAAGTCAGATAAAGGAAGTTTTTCAAAAATAGCCCGGAGAGTGTCTTGGCATAACAGGGCAGAATAATTGGAATTCATCGGAGATATGGTCATGTGGGTTGACTCAAATTCTCCATCTCCGCCTCTACCGCCAGCGGCGGAGGAGGAGGTGGTGGTTGTGGATAGGGGGGATTCTTGAGGCGGGTTTATTAGGGTTTGGAGGAGTTGTTCTTCTTCTTCTTGATTGCAACAACATCCCATTATTTGGACTCTTGAGTGGGGTTTGTGGAGATGGCCGCCGGCAACTGGGCCGCCAAGAGCTGGGGAGTTGAAAGTCTGTGAAGAAGACGGAGGAAATGAGATACGACTGCAAATATTTGGTCACAAATCTTTTGCCTTTTCCTTTCTCTTTTTGCAAAATTTGATGCGAGCCCCCAAAATATTATGCTATACTAATTATTGCCCTCCACTAACAATAATGAGAATTGCATTAAGCGACCTTGGATCGAATTAACACATTTTGATAGATGTTATTAAAATACGAGTATTGCTATCAATTACCAATGTTGTTTGCATTTTAAAAACGTTTTTGATGAATTACAAAATTAAAATAATTACTATTTTTACCGTTTTAGTTTAAAAATTACTGTTATTATTATTATTCATATTTTAGACACATATTTAACATGCTACGAACGAAATTTAATCAATTTGTTATTGTTATTATTATTCTTACTTGTGTCTTTAGAACGTGTTAAATAAGTTACCGAATTAAATTAGTTTAAGAATATATTTAAAGTAAATTTTATATACACTGACATGCATACATTATTATCATTAAATTCATTGCATATGCATAAAAATTAAATTTTAAATTTAAATTTTATATAGTTATTATTTATTCAATACTGACAATGATTAATCTGTAAGTTTAAGGTACATGGACCAACTTGCACCACCAATTTCAAGCAAAAACTAAAATCTCACTTTGTCGGTTAAGAATTTGATGTGTATGGGGTTGTATTGATAAATAGGTTACTAAAGGAACTGAATTGGAAAGTGTTTTGTCAAAGTACACTTGAATACTCCTCCTCGCCAAAGTGCAAGAAGCAAGCAACAGCTCCCAAGTCCCAACTAGCAAGAATTGAAGCATATATCACAGCCACAAGCCATAAATGAATCAAGAAAGTGATATTGGCATCAAGCTTAGCATCATCTCAAACCAAAGCAAAATCAATACATACTGCAGGAAAGGGAACACCGCAGACATTACAACTGAAATGTTCTCCTTTTAACAAGCCCTCTTTCAAATTTTCTCTGTTCAGGGCATAGAATCCTACCTGAGTTGACAATCTGCAGAAAATTACCCTCCAGAAGAAGAGAAAAAAGCAGCTCCACAGCAGTCAGAATAGTTAGCCACCTCAGGTTGACAATCTGCAGAAAATTATCCTCCAGAAGAGAAACGTTCCACGATAGTTAGCAAAGTTAGCTACATCATCATCTTTGACACTCGAAAAGGAATCAACTGTTAAAAAGCATAAATGGAATCTGGCGTGCGTGGATCTAATCTGAGCCTTCAAAAGGCGAGCTTATTTAACTTCCATTGCGTCATAGGACAACAAAACAGATTACACGGCCCACCCATGACCAAGCCCGTATGCATCCGAATATCCAGCATGAGCATGACCATCATGCCCATGGTGATGGTGATGGTGATGGTTATGGTGGTCATTGCCTTTTGCATCATCAAGCATCATCTGAACGTGCTCTGGTATTGGCTCTTCCTCAGATTGCCTAGTGGACTTTGGTAATGCAGAAATGAACTCATAAATACTTTCAGCTATCTCCTCAGAAACATGCTCCTAAAATTGCAAACAAATCCAATCACCATAAGAGGACTTCAATAAAGAAAACAGATAGAAGATCAAAGAAATATACTAAATAAATATGTCCTTGCAACTTTCTAGAGCTGAAATCCAAAAAAGAAAGAGAGAATGGGTGCACTGATGTGTACAATCTACCTCAGAAAGAAGATGTAACCATGTCCTCACAAAACTATTTTAAAGAACGCATGCAGTAATGTGTACAGTTCATCTATATAGTGGGCTGTGGTTAAATAAGAGTATAATCCATCTCTAAACTGGATTGTACTTAAAAGGGTTGTGTGTGTGTGAGTGAGTGAGAGAGAGAGAGAGGCTGTTTGGACAAATTGACAATTCCTTCCCACACAACAGCCCTCCCTCCCTGACCCAAATATCTTCGTCCTACAGCCTCATTGTTTGGAAAAATGAAATTTTATTTTGCTGAACAAAGCAAAAAGACCTAACGAAGTCAACAAAACAATATTTTTTCTAGTTTCCTTTTGATATGACTTTAAAAAAATGAGTATATATATGTAAACTGCAACAACAGAAACTGCATAACAATTGAACTGCAGGATGAAGAAACTGGAAACAGGATATGCTCAATTTACTGTATCCATTTTCTTTTTCATTTTCACAAGAAGTATCTTTATGTATAGTTGCTAAACATTTCATCTCATCTGAAGACAATGCCAATTGCATCACCATTGATTGACATACTGTTCTTTGTTAATAGAACATCATCAGGTAGGCGTCCTGCTGCAACTAAAGACCAATGTGCTTGAAGGGAAATTTTTGTGCCCAAAAATACTAATAATGTTTTTCTCTAATTACAATTCAAAATATTAAGAGCCATATCTTATCAGTCATCACACTAATACTATTTCCCTATCCGTGATTAGCTGTCTAGTATCTTATAGCATACACTTAACATTTGGCTGAATATAATAAGCTCACTAAATTCTGGTCATAGGCATTTAAAAAAGATAGCAATCAAGACTCGAGACATAGGACAGAAAACACTCCCTTATGTATTCAATTTTCATCCTATTTTATGAAGACTAAATTTAGAGAGAAAAGACGCCAAATGTCGACAGACATAAATTTGCAGATTTCAGGGACAAACTGGAAAGAGCAGTAAAAATTTAGCAAAGAGCAATATGATCATGAAAGCCATGAATACCAAAACTTTCTGTGCTTACGCAACACAAGAGGAAAAGTCACCGGAGATGTTAAGTCTACTTTGTAGTTCATACAAGCTTGTTCAAATTCTTCTATGCCATAAATCTGCATAAATGTGGGATTAAAAATTTTTGTTTTCTGGCAAAAAATCCATTCTGCAGAGTCTCAGACTCGCACCCATTCAATTCTACCCCTTTCCCAACTAAGGAAGACAAAAATCATGGTGCTTCTGTTGCTGCTTCAATACCGTTCTGCGTGCAAACTTAATTACACTCAGAACCCTATATTCTATGGATGACAAACTATGTCGAATTCATACAGCAACTCTTTAAGGCAGTTGGACGACTAACTGATGCACTGAGTAAAAGAAAGAGAACCATTATTAGGCCCTAAATTGTGCCCGAGACAAGCTAGTATCACAATATGGCAGCTAAGTAGTCATTGGAACTTATTGAACAATTTTTTGGCTCGCATGCAAAGAAAGACAATTCAGAATATCAAATGATTGAGGCAAAAAATGCAATGAAAAGTCTATATTCTCACCTGTGGCCACGCTCCACCAGAATGGGAGACAAGTGTAGCCTGAGAAAGGGCATCGGCAACCCGACTGCCCTCCTCACTCCACTCTTTGGAAGAACCACTAGACCAAATCACTCGCATTGGCAAGTCTTTCACCTCATTCAAACCACTCCATTCAGACAAGTCCAAACTATGATTTGCCCTCTTAACCATCCCAACCGCTGACCTCCTTCCATTCCTTCCCTTCAAAAGAAGCCTATGAGCCTCAGCCTCCGCTTTGCCAACAGATTTCAAACAATACTTTCCAAGAACGCTCTGAAACACCAATCCAACCCCCAAAACCGCCTCTCTCACCACTGGCAATTCCAATGCCCAAGAAGGCAATGCTGTTCTACTTGGTACACTGTCAAGCAAAGTAACACTCCTAACCAACCGCGCATTTTCCAATATCCAATTAGCACTCAAGCCTAATGCAGAATCATGCAAAACTAAGTCCACAGGTGCCAATCCCATTGCATCAATAACCTGACTCAAGACCCTCCCCATCTCTTCATCACCTAATTCAATAGCCTTTACAACCTCCCTTTTCGAAACCCGAATATCATCCTCCTCATAATCCACATACCCCTTTTCAATCAGCTGATCAAACCCCCAGAATAGACCCCTTTCTTTAATCTGACCATAAACCTCCCAAAACCCCCCTAAAACCCCACCACTACCCCCAACATTCTCTTCCGCCACAACCACGGACTTATCCGAGAACCCGGAACCAGGTAAATCTATAGCAATAGCATGAACCCCTTTAAGGCCTAAAGATTTAACAATCCCCTGAAAAGCAAAAGAGCTGCAGCCAAACCCATGTACAATCAGTACTCGATGATCAGAACTAAAGGGCCCATCTTGAATTGAAAAGGCTTCAACTTGGGGGTGATTTGGGGTGAGTTGTACCTTAAAAATCCTACCTTTAGAATAGTGCTGGCGCAGATTTGGAGGCAGGTTAAAGAACCATGTCTTGGGGTCCTGAGTAGAGAAGGAGGGCAGAGAAATGAAGAAAAGGGTAACTAGAGAGACTGTGAGGGTGAAGTAGAACCAAAATTGAAAAGGGTTGGTGTAGTTGGTGGAGGAGGAGGAGGATGGTGGTGATGAAGTGGTGGTTTTGGCTTTGGATTTGGATAAAGGCTTAGGGGTTGTTTCGGTTGAGGGTTTTGGTGGGTCTGGTTCTTCAGTTAAGATTGCCATTGCTACTACTGGTGAAGTTGAACTGATACTGGCATTTATGATGTTTATGGAACTCCAAAGAAAAGGGGTTGAGGATACTGCTCTTTTCCTTGCTCCTCAGATCTGCCAAGTGCCACATCCGTAACTAAAGTGGAACTGTGGAAAGGAGAAAGTGCAAAAGAAAGTTCCACACGCATGCGGCCAATGCTTAAGCTGCGATCTTGCACTCGCAGTATAAATTTTGGGGTTAATTGCAAAACACCTTCCTGAACCATTTTCAGTTTGCGGAGTGGCTCCTAAACTATCGATCCTGCGAACCAACGATCACCAGAAAAATCGTCTGGAGAGGTTTGTTTGGAACGTAACTCAACATATAGAACATTATAATTTTATGATTCCATACATGATGCTAAAATTCATGTACAATATGTGATCTTATATATATATATTTTTTGTTTTAATCAAATCACGATCGCGAATCTTTCTAAATAATCGCAGGACGGTTATTACTTGCAACCGTTGTTGTCCTAACTCCCAATTTTAGCATTTAGCACTCTCAAATATCAAGATCATATCATGAACATTTCGTGTTGATAAGCTAATTTGGAT